TAGGCCTATCCATGTATTCACCAATGTGATACACTTAGCAAGATGCAATACCACATACATAAGCATGTTTTCAACAATAAAATCATATACTCACATTCATATACATTTATGCATCCTAGTTGACAACTAAAATATTTACAACTTTAATATACATTCATTACACTAAGGGTAGTCATATCACTACTAATAGAGGCTACTCTTTTTTTGTTTCCTTTCTAGATTTTCTTGTGCTCTCTTCACCTATGTATAAAGCTAACGAAGTGAGATGTATGTCCTAATAACTTCGATAAACTCTAAATATCAGTTTGTAAGTAAAATCATAAATAATAATAAAGTAGCCTTATATCAATAAAACAGTTGAAATATACATGCACATAATACCATTCTCATTCATGGTTATACTCATGTACTACTGGTTCTCCTTAGCGGAGCAAGCTCTACGCTTGAACTAGGACTTCTAGCCTTACACAAAACAGGGCCTACTAAACCATTGTCTCCGTATAGGAATCATCATTATAGGTGGTCCTTTGAGTCCCATCGAGCGAAACATTCTAAACGCTTAGACTATTAAGACTTCCTAGCCTTATATCGAGTAGGACCACGACCCCCTACCATAGTCTAGAGTACACTCATGGATCATTCTTCTAAGTCCTTCTTAATGGAGCAATCTTTACACTCAAGACCTTTAGGACTTTCTAACCTTGCACAAAGTAGGGCTGCAACCCTCTACCCTAGTCTAGGGTATACTCGTGGATGCAAATGTACATGTCTCTTCTCATACATTTCAAGCATCACTCACACACCCACATGCGTATTCCTTTCACAATATTACTATTCTATTGGTTCATAAATCATAATACATATAGTTATATAAAGTATTTATAAATAATTTCATAAACTAACAAGTAAAATGATTACTCCATTTACCTTTTACCCTTATTATCAAGGGTTACCATTCTCACAGTCAACTCTCAAAGGTGTAGATTCCACGAGCAATTTCTCAATGCTTAATCTACATAAGAAACATTCCTTAATCAATTTTCCAACATTTAACATAGGCATTAATTTGGCTAAGCAAAATCTTTCAACACATAAAACAACCCAATTTAAGCCTTTTTAATTCATATAATCCTTTTTCTATATTCATTTTGCCCTTAAGCTACTCAAACGACCAATACCCTCCTAACTCGCTTGTTTACCAATTTTCTCTACTTTTAACCTAATAATTTAAGTTAATTAAGCCTTTATCCTCATAATTCAACCATTAAACTTTATAACAAATGCAAAACCTTAGTATCATATCTGAAAGGTCTTTTTAAACCTTTCCCTTAGATTTTAACTTCTTAAAACTTTCTGATTCAATTTCTCTACCAACCAAACTTAAAGAATTTTAGGTAGAATTATAGCACAGGATTGTACGATACTTACCGAACAAGTCACTGGCTGAAGGAAACTCTCAATCACTGAATAATTGATGCCCTAGTAGAGAAACCTCCTTCTTACCCCTCAGATGCGTTTTCCCTTACTTCCTCTTCTAATCTCACGAGATAGAAATGTTAGCTTTAAGTGAATTTTGTGCTATGCGCCGCAACGCATGCAACACATGCCACGACACATGGCACAGTGAGATAATTCTTATTATTGCTCACGCGTTACGTCCTTAATTATCATTTTACCATTCGATCCTATAACCACACCAACCAATTAGCACCACACATAAATCCATCATTCAAAACCACATTCAATCCACTAATTACTAGTTTAACCCTAATTAGCAATTAGTTTCTTAGATTGAAATGCAAGATGTTACAAAATAGAACTTTTAAAAGATGTCTTATATTATGATTTAGGAAGTAAAAACTGAATTGGATTGTGACTAGGATGTATGAAGAGGAGTTAATTATTGGGAAATTTCCTAAAAATTGCTTCACCAATAAATTTATTACCTTAAAGCACCTTAAATTTGTTTAGGTTGTATTTGGATGGGCAAATTTGGATTAAGAATTTAAATTTAAAATTTTATATTTAAAATCTCACATTTGAAATTCATAGATTTTAAATTCTTTATTTAGATGATATAAAAAATTTCAAATTATAATATTAAAATTCTTTGTTTAGATCTCAAATAAAATTCCAAATTTCAAATTTTATGCATAAATTTAAAGGTAATTCGGACAACATTAGCAATCCAGTCCTTGTCAAAGTCGATGGTTCGGTCTAAAACAAGGATGGCGGCTTAGTTGTTCAAACCTGGATCACATTCATGATCCAATCTTAATTTGCAGGGGCAGCGTAGTCCCAATTGACATTAGTGGCCCAATCACAAATAATGCTTTTGGATTAGCACAAGATTATTAGAGCAATCTAAGGGCTTTAGATTGGACTTGGATAAAGACACTAGACCATTTCCTATTAACAATGGCATTTGGCACTAGATAATAAAGGTGGATGGATTGAAGATGATGATTATAGACTAGTCTTGGATTGCAATAATGGTTAAGACCTAGTCAAAGCCGTTGATCTTATCCCAGTCAAAGCTGTCTATCTAGCCTCGATCAACTTTAGCCATCTAGTCCTGGTCTGTCCTGATTAGTACTAGCCATTCAATTCTGGTCATAACCAATAGTCTTATCTTGGTCTGTACTGGCCATCTTGTCTCGGTCAAAGCTAGCAGGTTTGGTCTTGATCACTGCTTATGGTCTAATTCTAGTCAAAGCTGGCTATGTGGTCCTAGTCAACGCCAATAGTTCGATCTCAATTAGTGCCATTTGTGTGATCCCGATTAAAGTTATTTGTTTAATCTTAAGAGGCACTAAGTGTCTGGTCTTTATTAGCATCAACTATCAGGTCCAGGTTGGTATCAGCATTCTAGTCCTGGTTATCATTTGCAATCTAGTCCTTATCGATACTTGCAATCTTGTCCGAGTAGACGCTAGCATTATGATCCTGATGGATATCAGCCAGAGGCAGCATTGTCAAAGTCAAGAAAGTAGTGAAATTGATAAATGAATGCAAAAGAATATTTAGCAAGGATTTGAAATTACAAAAAGATTGAGGTAGAATTTAAATTTGAATTTAGGTCAAATCCAAATCCAAATCCACTTATTTTTAATTACCCAAACAATAAATTTGACTCAAATCCAAATCCAAATCCAAATCTAAATCCAAATCTACATGCATCTAATAATATTAAGGATTTGAATCCTTTACAAGAATAAAGACTAATAGTTAGATTACTAAAATATGTACGCTTAATCTTCCCAAGATGTACATTTTTCAGAATATCTAATTGGGTTTTCATGAAAATTAAAGATATATTCGAATATTCATAACCATTATCATTAAAAAAAAGAAAATTTCAGAATATCCAATTACATTTTCATGAAAATTGGAGATATATTCAAATATCCATAAACGTTATGCTGAAAATTAAAGATACATTCAAATTTGCATAATTGATGTCATGAAAAAAGTTCTCCTATCACATGCAACACTCTCCCATGTGTGTAGATTTCTTTTGTAAATCTTCCATGAAATGCAATTTTCTTCCATAATATGCAAATATCTTCCATTGGTACACATTTTCTTCATGCATATGAAATGTTCATGATATGCGATATTCCCTTGTTAGGTACAAAGCATTGTCACAAGGCGACATATGTCCACTGGTGTAATACATCTTTTGTTATGCTTCCTTCGGTTCTTATTATCTAATACTTTTATCTGATTCACACATATTAAGAAGAGTTATTTTTTAATATTATAAAAAATATATGAACTTTTATTTTTGCTCTTGATTTTAAATCATTAAACAACTACATTAAACACTTTCATGCTAATCAAAAAGGTAAAATTAAAAAAATGGTATAGTCATTACAAGGTGTCATATATATTAGATCAAAAATTACTTTTAACAAGTGTCCAACAAATAAGACTGATGGGAGTATGCAAATACTTTTTGTAAGTGCACATTTTCTTCCATAAAAAATTTTAATGTTCATAAATAGTAGCGCCAAAGAACTTTGATCCTCATAGACATCAACATCAAAGGACCCCAAATATTGCCACCAAAGCATCTTGATCATTTCTTTGCTTTTTGTTTTATAACATTTAAGTAATTTACTGTTCTCAAATATTGACACTTTAGGACTTGATTTCCATAGTTTTCCTCTACCTTAGAATAATAAATTTGGTGGTGAGAGATTTTTGGACAATTTTTTCAAGGGAGAATGACATATAAGTTTTAAAAGAATCAATTAAGTGCTCCTTTATATTTCAGTTGTGTATAATAAATTATAAAAAGAATTAATTAAGTAGTAGATTTTAATTACAATTGATTATGTTATAGCACAATTTGTATGGATATTATTTTTTTAAAATTTATTTTAATAGAATTAAAAATATTTGGATAATTTATTCAGAATAAATTTTAACTGTATAGCTGTATAAATTGTCATAATTTTTTAATTTTATTAAATTTTATGCTTTTTTTATAATTTTTTCCTGAACCTTTCTTGTAATTTTCTCATAATTGTTAGATAATTTGAACGCAGAGCTTTAAGAAAAACTTAATTTTTGTGGGCAAAAATTAATTTTTTGCCTCAAATAATCGATTACAATGCTATCCAAATAGGCTCTAATTCAAATAAGGTCTTAAATGCCAAACTTTATAAATTTATTAATTTATTTTTTAATTTTATAATTTTATTATGATGAATTTATAACATGTTTTTAAAATTTTAATATGATTAAAAAATAAATAAATTTGTTTTTACTATTAAATCTTATAACACAAGATATAAATTCATTACAATAAAATTATACAAAAGCTGAGATTATAAATTCATAAAATTTGAATTTAATTTAAATTAATTGAGATCTTGTTTTTTTTTTTTTGGGAACTTCACGAATAAATTAATAATTAATTTTGGATTCCCGAGATTCCAATCCACCGAATCACAAGACCCGAAGCGAAGATTCATTTCATTCAGGTCAGGTCAAGAAACCAATGGTGCCGCCAAATAAAAAGGTCAGGAAACCAAAGAGGAAGATTACTTAATGTCACTCTCACTGCTCCATACAGAAGTATTTTTCGCACTCACATGCTCTGCGTATGGAAACCCTAATCGGCGCAGTCGCGAGTGGACAGTTTCAACCAACTATAGCCATTACGTTCAACTGGGGGAGCTCGAGATCAAGCCGGAGCCCCAATGGCGTTTCTATGTGTCTCCTCCCTCCTAGATGTTCAGTCCGTGCTTCTACTTTAGGTGATTCTCATATTTCTTCTTAATGTAGTTTTATTTCGATTACATTTCTATCTAGCTTCTTGGAGATGGATAAATGAGAATGGAAAGTTGATCAATTTTTTTTTGTCAATTTCTCTTGTTTGGTCTCTGTGATTCGGAGGTAACGAGAAATATATGGCAAATGGCGCGTTTATTGCATTTGTGGAGCATTTACTTCGGGTCATCTTGTCATTCGAGTGTTTCTACTGTCATATACGGATATAGCTAATAATTATGTATTCTGTATCGATAGTTCATTTCCTTGTACTGGTTAATTTCATGGGGCCTGGCCAACATTTTTAAGCCGCGATTCTTACGATCCACTTCATCCAGTTGATAATGCGGACAAGTTTGTTGAAGCTTCAAAAACGGGAAATCTTATTCCTCTATACCGATGTATTTTTTCTGATCACCTCACCCCCGTTCTTGCTTACCGGTGTTTGGTTAAGGAGGACGAGAGAGATGCTGCTAGTTTTCTCTTTGAGTCTGCTGAACCTGGACTCCAGGTTTCCAGTATTGTAAGCATTTCATTCCATTTTATTAAATTTATTTTGTTCGAAAGATGTCTTGGGTTTACCCTTATTTCGGATTAATTATATTAGGGGCGGTACAGTGTAGTGGGAGCTCAGCCAACAATGGAAATTGTGGCCAAAGAGAACATGGTTACAATAATGAACCATGAGGAAGGACGCAGGACTGAAGAAATTGTGGAGGATCCGATGGTGATTCCTAGAAGAATCATGGATCAGTGGAAACCTCAACTCACCGAGGAGCTTCCAGATGCATTTTGTGGTAAGGAACACTGACTATAAATCTCAAATATCTAAAGAGCTTTATCCATACACACAATTCAATAGGGTATCCTTTCCATTCGGTCACTACAATGCCTCTGTTTATATTTTATAAGATATGTTAGTCTTAAAGTTTGGTAGTGTTCGGGCTGCCAAATTCATAAATCAAGCTTCCGTTATTTAGTTTTCAAATTTTTAAATTTTCACATTGTTTACATCTTTCAAGATGCTGACTGGGCAACAAAATTTTCCTTGTTATATTTTCCTCTATCATACAGGTTTTTTATCACATGCCAAAGTAATGATCAAACGGTCTGCTTTGCACACCTTGATGCATGTTTTGGGGTCACTTTATCTGCTTAGAAGAAAAATGAATACCGATTAACTTATCAACAAAATCCACTCATTTGCCTAAGCAATTCTATTGTGAGTTTGCTGACATATATTTGAACATTTACTTTTTTCCTTTTGCCAGGTGGTTGGGTTGGTTATTTTTCATATGATACAGTGCGTTATGTAGAAAAGAAGAAACTTCCATTCTTTACTGCCCCAGCAGATGACAGAAATCTTCCTGATGTTCATCTGGGTCTTTATGATAATGTGATTGTGTTCGACCATGTTGAGAAGGTACTTTCATGTCACCCAAGAACAAGGTGCTCTCCAACTAAATTTCTTTTGGGATTATTTCTTCTATCTATGACTTTATTTACTTTTGGTGATATGTAAAGAAAGATAGTTGTCTGATTGAGTGACATGATTCCTTTTTCTATGTATGAAATATCTACCCAAGGCAGGCAATATGAGTTGATAAACTGAGAAGACTTGCTCAAACTTGTATTCATTTATACCTTTCAAATGAATTTTCATTTTATAAAAAAGGCTTAACCAGATTTGCAAGTCAAGTTAATTATAAGAACCTCACTGTTTCGTTGGCTTTCAAAACTTTTTTTGCTTTTGAGAAATGGATTAATGCAACAAATGGATTAGGAGGCAATAATTCTGATTATATTTAAGTGCTTACTGGAATTAGTGTTGTAATTAATAACTCTTTCTAATTTGAGCTTGTTGAACTCAGAAAGCTTATGTGATTCATTGGGTGCAATTAGATCGCTATTCTTCTGCTGAGGAGGCTCTCAATGATGGAATGAACCGATTGGAAACACTGGTGTCCCGGGTGCATGATATAATTACGTGAGTAATGTTTTCCCCCTGTACAATGCATTTCAAATTATGATTTTTTTTTAAGTTTGATTTTCTATGAACTACAAGATACTTGTCAATTTTCAGCCCAAGGCTGCCAGCAGGTTCAATAAAGTTATACACTCATATTTTTGGTCCTAAGCTGGAGGCATCAAACATGACAAGTGATGAATACAAGAAGGCAGTGCTGCAGGCGAAAGAACACATTCTAGCTGGTGATATTTTTCAGCTTGTACTAAGTCAGCGATTTGAACAGAGGACATTTGCAGACCCATTTGAAGTCTACAGAGCACTGAGGATTGTTAATCCTAGTCCATACATGACTTATCTACAAGTTTGCCAATTTCTCTTTACTCCTTTTTATTTTGTTCTATCTATTATTATTATTTAGCTTTCAAATTGTCTAATTTATTCAAGCATACTGGTATCAGGCCAGAGGGTGTATCCTTGTTGCTTCAAGTCCAGAAATTCTTACACGAGTGAAGAAGGTAATATTGCTTTGCAAAAATTACCTAAACATGATTGCTTCCATCTTATTTCTTACATTTATGAGAGCCCAAGATGTTAAAACTAAAGGAAAAAGAGTCAGAGATGCTCAACAGACCAAGAATACTGAAGAGTGATGCAGCAATGCATGGGGCCCAGTTGTGGGGTATTTCCTAGGGTAAGGTGACATATAGAATTTTGCTGTGTTGTCGGCTGGAGGTAGAGCCGTGCCTCTCGGATGTTAGGGGAGCCATTACTGCAATGTTTTTTTTTTCCTTATCTTACATTTCCTAAGGCTTTCTGGGCTACTGTAGAAGAGTAATTTGTGATTTTGCTGTCCATTTGTCCTCACTAATGCTTGGAGGATTTGTAACTAATTACTATCATTTCCGGCAATAATTAAACTGGGTTCCGTCAGCTAGTATATGATAGTAGTAGGCCATGTTTGTGTTCATAGTTTTCTTATGCTTATCTATTATTTATCTTGAGCTTCTTCTCGATATTTTCAATTAACATCTACTTTTTATATAGTTTTAACAAGTGTTGATGCCTCTTTCATGCCTTTGTTGACAGGGGAAAATTACCAATCGTCCCCTTGCTGGGACTGTTAGGAGAGGGAAAACACCAAAAGAAGATATCATGTTAGAGAAAGATCTTTTGAATGATACGAAGCAGTGTGCAGAACACATAATGCTCGTTGATTTGGGAAGGAATGATGTTGGGAAGGTTTGAAGTTTCCGTTTCCAGGACTTATTTTATTTTTATTCCATATTCTACGGGGATCAAAATCAAGAAGTACATTGTTAGGCCCCTACGCATTACACCATCTAAAACACACACAGACATATGAGAGTCACCGAATGGAAGAAAATGGGGAGGAAACGCAAAAATTTATGTAAAAAAAGAAAAGAAAAGCAAAGATTAAGACCATTTATATGTTTCTACTAGACATTTTTTATGTGCTCTGTGGTACTTGCTTCAAGGTTTAGTATTCTTTGATGACGCTGGTCTTTCTAAATTGCCCATAAATCCATAACATTTTTTTATTATTGTTGTAATCATGTGTTTGGTATGATGTGGTTATGCAGGTCTCCAAACCTGGTTCTGTAAGAGTTGAAAAGCTCATGAATATTGAGCGCTATTCCCATGTCATGCACATCAGTTCAACTGTAAGTTTTATAATGCAATTTATTGGATATTCAAATGTTTTTGTCTCAAACCACATAACATGTATGTGTGAAAGGAAGCGTTGGAGAAATTGTTCAAAATGGATTTTGAAGTCAAGCTGTTTTGGGATTGAGGTTAGTCGATGAGATAATTAGCTGTGAGAATTGTTCCCCACCAGGTGGAATCTAGGGACATTGGATGTCATCGTTAAAGGCCTAGCTACCCGTAGGAGGTGCTCATTTACTCTATAGGATTTAAGTGATAATATATCATAAGGCAATAATGAACAGTTTTATATCTATGGAAGTTAATTTGATCCATGTCCTTTGACATGAGATAACGGATATTTAAACACATATAAGTCCTCGTTCACAATCTTGCAAGAATGAAATAGGGATTCGTCATTTCCCAAGTTAAACATTGTAGAAGTTGATGCTTCAAATATATAATGAATTTGATGAGTTTAATTGAATAGTACCTTCCTTTCAGAAAATAAATGGAGGATGAAAACAACATGCTCCATTTCCTTCTATAAGGGCAACTCACTAATTGAAGGATATTTTGGTTTGCTCAGGATATCATTTAAATGACACTGAAAACCGCATTGGCCCCTTTGTATTGATTATAATGTATGGATTTTTAGAACTACACTTTAAAATAAGATGGCACGTCATTAATTCATATTCTGTTATATAAGTTATGACCTTTAAGGATTGAAGTAGATTTTTGAGATTCTTTTTTCTTTTGTTGGCCGGAGAATTTTGTGATTCATGGATTCTAAATTGTGTTTCTGGTGTGTAATTGGGATTTTAACAGCGATGGTTGTTAGACAGACTCTTGGATGTGTGTGTGTGTAATGTCTTCTAAAATTATGCCCTCTTTCTTGACGTGGGTAAGTAGCTATTCATGTTCATTTTGCTAATAGTATATATTTCAGGAGATGCTGATTTTATATTTTAGCTACAGTTTCAAAGCAATTTCAGTTGTCTTTTTAAAAGCAATAAATGGAGTAGTGAAGAAGATTGTATCCATGACTATGAAAACTGTGCATGCCTGTCTTTGCAGGTCACCGGGGAGTTACTTGATCATTTAACAAGCTGGGATGCACTGCGTGCTGCATTACCTGTTGGTACAGTTAGTGGAGCGCCAAAGGTAATTTTTAGTGCATTGTAAGACTGCCTAGACCTTGATGCCCTTAAATTCTGATATTCGCCAAATATAAGGAAACCAAATAAGTCAAAGGGAGGCTCTCTCTCTCTCTCTGTGTGTGTGGTGGAGATAAACAGATGGATATTTTATATGTTGAAAAATTTAACTCTTAAAATTTACTAAATCGTAACTGAAAATTGACCTGTGTATGTTTTAAAATTAGTTAATTTTACCAATTTAACTTTTAAGGCTTGTGAATAAATTGACACAGAATTTGTTTAACAGATTTTGCAAAATCTAGGAAATCAATTTATGATTAAAATTTAAAATATTTGATCAAGGCACCTCTAAAAGGACTCACATCAGTTACATGCATCTATTTGTCTGGTTCTTAGTTCCTTTTCTTTCCTTTAAGTTTCACATCAGTCAAATGTTTAGGATTTTCTTATATAAGCTAGGAATTGTTAGTGTTTAAACGTTATCATGAGCCACATGGGCCTTGGCACCAGCTGGTCCCATATAAAACTTTTATGAGGTCTCATTTCTGGCATGTTGAGGTCGAAAGTAAAGATCTTTTTGGCTGAGGACTGTAAGGTTCAACCCTTTTAGTAAACTAGATTGGTGGCCAGTTCATTTATGTACTGGTTTGACCATCTGTTCCAGTCTGGATTCTTCTACTGGTGTTATCGTTCATTTTTTCTTAACAAATCTGTATGAGTAGAAATTTAGTCAACCAATTTGAAATGCCATATTGGTTCTTGCATGAGCAAAAGAAGTTTTTGCCAATTGCCATGACAAAATATTCCGCAATCCTCTACTGCTGTGCTCAAAAGAAAGTACCACATTTATAACAGGATTGTGAAGCTGAATATAAAGGGTTAATGTTACAGTATGCAAATGCTCCTGATATTCAATTGGTGAAACAAGATATCTGGAGCTTAGATTCTGCTTTTACCTAATAACTTTTCATCTTTCTTGTTCAAGTGATGTATTTCCTTTGTATCTGGCCTATCTGGTCAAAAGAATGTATTTCCTATGTAATACGCGAGGCATGTCCCCATTGTATTAAGAAAATGTCACCCTAGTTTGGATTATTGGTTTAATGTTTCCGGTCCTACGAAATTCACATGGTCTGTGCTGCAAAACAGGTGAAAGCCATGGAGTTGATTGATCAGTTGGAAGTGGCAAGACGAGGACCGTATAGTGGTGGTTTTGGAGGCATATCCTTTACCGGCTCTATGGACATTGCTCTTGCTCTGAGGACCATTGTTTTCCCTACCAATACTCGTTTTGATACAATGTACTCGTACAAGGATGTGAACAAACGTAGGGAATGGATTGCTCATCTGCAGGCTGGAGCAGGAATTGTGGCTGATAGTGATCCAGCTGATGAGCAAAGAGAGTGTGAGAACAAAGCTGCAGCTCTTGCCCGTGCAATTGATCTTGCAGAGTCTTCCTTTGTTCAGAAATGAATTGGATGTATCCATGGGTGAAAACTTCATTACTGAATTGTAAACTAAAAGGAAGACGTTGACTCTCGTTTAAAATTAATCGGAGGCAGCTACGTAATTGCCTCAGAAGTGAGGGTTTTGCAGTCATTTGCAGTTAATTTTGATGGAAATATGCTGTTTTTTTTTTTTTTAATGAAAATATTGACCATCATTGAGGGTGCATTTGGGAGTTCCCTGAAGGAAAAGAACTGTCTCCTCTAACCTTTGTTTGACATTTATTATTGCAAAATGGATGGAATGAATTGTATATATTTTTTTTGACAGTATTACTGTTATAGGCTAATTCAGATGAAATGAAGTGAATAAATTCTTTAGCTCTCATCCTAACCTGATAAGAACATTTTTTAAAAAATAATATTAATCTGCAAAGGGGGAAATAGTAAAATTTATTCGTATGTTTTTAATTCTTACACACGACTTTTTATTGACAAGTTTAAAAATGTGAAGATGATAATTGAGGAAAACGGATGATTAATAGTTGTTCAGATTTTTAACTATTGGACAAGAAATAAATAAGTCTTTAAAGTTTAAACAGAAAGTCAGTAATTAATGTAGAGATATTTATTATTGGACAACAAATAATTGAAGATTCTTTTTAAAAGGAAAAAAATTACATAAAAGTCCTGGACATAAGAGAAGGGAAAATTGTTGAAAAATACATCACCACAAATTATTGCTCATAAGGCTCTGGAAAGTTTTTTTAAATGATGTTTTTCGGTGGCATTAATTTTGAGACTTCATGGTAGACCCCATGGCTCACAAGGCATTCATGACATGGCAAAGGAGCTTGGAAAGCAAGGAGCCCAAGGGGCGGACGAAGCTTAAAGAACCCAACAATTCAAGTTCAATGTACCTATGGATCCCTAGCTACATATTGGAAACCATATGTTTAAAAGCTAAATCAAAGCCATAAAACAAGCCTTACATTATATTGTGAAGGATGTCCAAGAATGTCCAAAGCAGAGTCCTTATACGTGTTTAATGTGTTGATAGTCCAAGTCCAACAAGGCTCAAGTCCACTTGATCAAAACCTTAGCTCACTTGAATCAACATGTGACAACAGTGTGTCTTGTGGAGGAAAATTTGAAGAGGCGCCATATCCAATCATTAATGATGTGATTCCCAGTCAGATTTGAAGCATCCCGAAGTCAACAAACGGTTAGATTTGGAACCAAGAGAGGCGTGATCTTCTATTGACTTTGAAGGCTCCCTTGATTGCTCAAGATTTGATCTACACTAGGTTTCCGATTTTGTGGAGAATCTGATTTGTTTCCTTTTGGTTGAGTCAATAATATCTAATTTTCAATTTTATATTTTCATTAATTGGGATCAGAATGATCAAGTCGCGTTGGTGGTTTTTTACTTCGTTTACCATATGTAGATGCCTTTGCTGCGGAGCTATGGGCTTTCATCATGGGTTTGAAGTACGCTTGGGACAGAGGTTTCAAAGAGTGTTTGCTTCTAAGTGATTGTAGTGAAGTTCTCACTCAGATTCGCAGTGGTAACTTGGATCTGCATCAATATCAATCCAAGATCTTGGAAGCTCGAAGTCTTCTTCAATGCGACCGGAACATTTCGATCAATCTTATGCCCCAAGAGGACAACCGTGAAGCAAATCTTTGCACCAAGAGAGCTCTGGAATCTACTCCAGGACTTCACTTTTTCCTTCCCGAGGACCTTCATCGGATTGTCTAGTTTGAGCCACAGTAGGTATTGTATTGTTTTTCTTTACTTTGCTTTGATTTCCTTTCTTATTAAAAAAAAAAATCTCAAGAAGAAGTTTGGGTGTTACTTTTAGTTTCTTATTTTATTCTAGCCAAAGATTGCTTTTGATCATTTAGAAAGTTTTGGTTCTTGTAATTTCATAATTCAAGAAAATACAGTGGCTAAAATTATATGACTTATATCATATTTTTGAATTTAGGGCTATTTTCAAGGTTTTTGAGTTTATCTTCGTTTATAAATAAGCGCGCTTTCATCTCTTATAACTTAATATTTGTTGAGTAGTAATAATAATATTATTATTTTAAAGTTTATAGCTCTTGAGAATTTTAATGCTTGTATTAACATCTCAATATATATGTGATTAAAAATTTGATTAACTCTTCTAGTGTTTTCAAAGATTAAAATTGCTGAAGGCAGATGTATTAGAAATCTTTTCCTTGATAATTTCTTCTTTCCTTTGATTTTTTTCGCCTTCCCTTTTCTTTTTCATATTTTCGCATCTTTGTTTCTTGTTTCTTGTGTTTAATTTGTGTTAAAATTCCATTTCTAGCTAGCACAGTTACACTTTCGCATCCTGTATCATTTCAAATAATCAAAATGCCTTAACCAAATCCTCTCTCCTCTCTTCAGTGGCATGAATTTATGATTTCCAGCAGCGACTTCTACCACTTCATCGACGAACAATGGCCAGGCGCAATGTTCGTTTGTAGTCCTAGCTTCATGCCTAATGACCCCTCCTTACACCTTTCATCTTCAACCTCCTTACACTCCATCTTTAAGGATCGATTTTTTGCTTCAGTAAGTTGCCTGAGTTCACTCTCTCTCGCCTCCTTTTCTAGGGGTGCTTCCAGATTTGATAATGATGATGTCATCTTCATTAGTGGTAGTCCCAGAGGCTATGTCGAAGCTGTTACGGAAGGTGAGAGAATTGCATCATATGCTCTATCAAGCTTTTGTGAAGAGCAGACACAATTTCTAAGATTTAACGAACAAATTCTCTAAATTTTGGTTTTGACATGGTTCCTCTCTCTTGAGCAGAGTTCTTTCAGTAGGTCCAACTTTTCCATGGCATTCCCTTGTGTTTCAGCGTCAGAGGAGGAGAAATTGGAAAATTCGTTGGTCTCAGGATTTTCTAAAGCATGTGGAGATGATTTAGAAATTGGTGATGTTGCTTTCCTTGGATCTTGTTCCAGGGAGGATTTAAATCATAAAGAAAATGCTCATGTGCATTCAATTCAAGTAATAAAAAAACTATGTGTCATCACTTATTATGGAATTTTGGATCTTGTAATGATGATCTGATTCTTTTTTGCCTGTTATAACTGCTAGGATTTTCTGAGCAAGTGGATGGAAGAGAGTCACAAAGGGGCTACATATGTAGTTGTCTTTTGTAATGTAGACTCTCTGCCGGAAGAAAATGTTATTATCATGCGCTTTAATTTTTAATACCCTAAATACTAATACAAAATTATATTTGAATATAAGGTACATTTTATATAAAATTTTTACATCAAGATTATTTTTTTAGAACACGCAAAAAAATATATTTAAATATAAGGTACTTTTCATATAAAATTTTGACATTAAGATTTTTTTTTCTTTTTTAGAATATACAAAAAAAAACATATTTGAATATAAGGTGTATTTAGTGGAAAATTTTGATGTTGAGATTTTTTTTAAATATGAAAAAAAAACATTTGAATATAAGCTACATTTCATGTAAAATTTTGAAATGAGGTCTTTTTTTTTTTCAAAATATACAAAGAGCATATTTGAATATTAAAAAAAATGCATTTCATTGAAGATTAATTATATATTGTAAAAGAAATATTACATATGCTTTCAAAAGTATCTATAAGGAATATTAATAAAAGATACTTGAATATGTATAAGTGATAGTTGAATATATAAAAAAAATTATATTTCATTGATAATTAATTGCATAGTGTGTAAGAAACATCATATATACTTCCAAAAGTATCGACAAGAAATTTTTGAATATATATATAAGTGTTATTCGATTATATAAAAAAATTATATTTTATTAAAAATCAATTGCATAATGTGAAAGAAATATCATATATGCTTCTGGTATCCATAAGAGATATGAATGTTAAGTGAAATACCTCAAATTAAAATTTCCCACATGTCTTTGTGGGCAAACTGATTTGTAGGGTAGTTTTTTTTTTGGGCAATTTTTTTTTCTGAAAAAAATAGAAAAGAAGGGAATTGTCATCCACCCAATTTTTGTCCTTGAGATGAGATTTTCTTTTTGAATTTGCAATTTTTCAATAACGTTTACTTATGTTCATAAACTAAAATGTTGGTTGCCTTGTAATGAAATTGAAAGAATCAACATAAAAAAATTTAAAAATACATATGGTATATTCAAGAGTTTTAAGAAAAATTCTGATAAAAATGTGGAAGAATTTTTTTAGTACTGGTTCATATAGAAAAGTTGATTTAAATTATAAATATAAATTTATTATAAAAAATTATACTTATAAGTAGAAATTAATAGAATAAATTATACCAGATTCTTCCCAAAATTAATTATAACCCATTCTCGTGAGGAGCAGGATCAGTTCCCTTTGTCGACGAACAAGCATTCCACCCTCCGTCGGACGCCGTCCACCATTGTCAGTCCTGCGTGGTTGTTCTCGGACAAGCAGTGAAGAAGATCGAACCGTAGGGCTTTTTCTACTCCCAAAATCCGGTGAGATTGATTTGTTCAATCTGGTTTTGAATGTAGATTTGAATTTGTTCCCCGCGTTATCTGTTCCCTGTGTGGTTGTTCTTGCTTTGTTTTGAATTTTTTTTTATTTTAATTTGGCTTTGAATCTGGTCATGTAATGGCTGAACATTGACGCTTTTCAATTTGGGAATATTTACACGTTTATTTTTTTGTACTAGTTTTGCTTGAATGGTGTGTAATTGGCCATTACACTTCTTCCCTCTTCGTTTTGATTACTAGCGATTTGTATGATTTGGATTGCGTTGTTTTGCAATGTTGGATTTGTTGTGTATTGGCGTTCTGTTTATTAATCTTTTTATATTATCATCAATTTTCGAAAATTCTGGAGGTATTTGTGATGTATGATCTTGTAAATGACTTCACTCGAGTAGTGCCCAAGTATCTGGAACAAAATTTAAAAGGGTATTTTATCAACTATGCATATTTCAAAGATTAATTTCTCCTTTTTCTTTTTTTCATGTGGAGGGATTGGAAGAATCAAATTTAAGTCAAAGAAAATGTCACATTAATAGCGTGTTTGGTTATTGTTTTCATTTTTTGTTTTCAAAAGTTGTTTTATGAAACATTTTAAAAACTGTTTTTGAGAACAAACCAAAAAAAAAAAAACTTGTTTAGTAAATAGTAATTCAAAAACAGTTTTGAAATTTAAAAAACAAAAAAACTTGCTTGGCAAAATTAATACTAAAAATAAGTTTTGAAAATTAAAATTCAATAAAACTTGCTTGATAAAAATTGTTTTGGCTATTATTTTGCTTGGCAGAATTAATTTATATGTTACCGCCAATAAAGTACAATTTTTTATTGGAAGCTCCCTACAGATTACAAAATGAGTAATATTTATAAGAAATAAATTTTATATTATTACTAACATATTTTACTAATGGTATAATTTCATAATTTGTTTGCGGGTGATAAATCAAAACAACTAAATATACTAAAAAGAAAAAAAAATAAAAGTTATATAAATGACATAAGATAATAAACAGTTGATAAAATGAATGGAATAATGTTTTGAAAACCATTACTTCAATCTTGTTTATCATAACAAGATGTTGTCCAATATTGCCAAATTAGTTAAACTAATCTATTAGTTATGTTGTGCCCACATCCTATTTGCAAGATGATCTCTATACATTGCCATATCTGCTGCACCTCGAGTATCATCATTTGAGCTCGTTCCCCCTATCTCATGAGGAGCTTCATTCATAACATCTGTTTCTATTTCCTTTTCTTCCCAAATCCTAAACAATTTATCACGCAAATTCCATTTGCGTATATAATTGTGAATTGTACAACATGCAATGACAATTAATCGCTGCCTAGTAGGTTTATATGGAGGCATCAACTTCAAAATAGGAGATCTGTTTTTCAAAACTCCAAAGCAACACTCAATTGTCATTCTCAGAGATGAGTGCCTATAATTAAATAATTCCTCCCCACTTTTAGGCTGTCTAGCTTCGCCTCTATATTCTTGCGCATGATACCTTTCACCCTTATAAGGGGAAAGAAAACTTCCAATGCGTGGATAGCTAGAATCAACAAGATAGAAAAAACCTAAATCAATATAAAATATGTTAAATTAAAATTTAAATATTTATTCAAAGCAAAACAAAATTATAATACTAGTCCTCACCTCTAGATGGCCAAGGAAAATGTGCATTTGGATTGGTAAGTGCATCCATAAAAACTTTTGCATCATGTGCACTTCCTTCCCATCCCGAATACACATATGTAAATATCATATTGAAATCACAAGCGCACATGACATTTTGCGTGACTATTGACTTTCTACCTCGGCATGAAATTTGCTTATCAGCAGGGACACATGCGCTAATATGTGTGCCATCAATTGCAGCCAAACAATTCTACAACAAAACCCAAACACACAAAATAAAAAATACATTACTTCTAACACATAAATGATATTGTAAATGAAATATTCCATACCTTGAACCAAGGATAGTATTTTGTATTGGTTTTAATTTTGTTGGGCAATTCCATGGATTCTTGTTTTATCAACTTTTTTCCTAGTTGACATACTGCTCTTAACACTTCTTTGAAGCAGTGAGAAGTTGTTTCTGTTGAATGTTGGAAACGATCTGTAATAACTCTATGATGAACATTATGTCCAATTATGAATAAAAACATTGCAACTTTTTCCTCCATAAGCACACCTCTTGAGTCTGTTAAGAAGCTTTTCGCCCTCAATTCATTACATAAGTTAACAAAACACGTCTTCTCCATTTGAAACAAGTCAAAGCAAGTTGTTTCAGATCCATTTAATACCTCAACAACAAAGTCATGACTAGATAATGTAGATGTTCGAACCTTTGTTTTATTTAAAAAGTCCTTGTCATAATCATAAACCATATCAATTATCAATAACTTAGGAAAGTCATCATCACTTGATTCAGAAGCATATTCATGACTTTCCTTTGACATTTAATCAACATCCATTCTATTTAATTATTTATAACCTGTCATACAATTTCAAAAAGAACAAAATCAACTTTACAAACACATATAACATTATTCAATTTCAAATGATCATTCATACAGGCTTCCAAGTTCTGAACCTAAAGTTGAAAGGAAAAAAAGAGAGAAAATGACAATACTTGCATGGGTAACACATAATCCATATGACTCTAACCTATGGTACTATGTTAATGGAGATTCCTTCCTAATTGATCAAATATGTTTTTAAAGCATCTCTAACCATTTCCTTTTCCCATCAATAGACATAGTAAGAAACATTTCCCTCCAATTATATTCCCTAAATTTTTCAAAAGCTTTGACAAATATGTGAGCTCGAATGCCTTCAATCTCCTCGAGCAATCACACACTTAGCCACAGTATATTTAGAATTAGCCTCCACACTCTTACTACGCTCATACTTTTCTGCTCTTGCCTTAGAAGCTTCAGCCCATGCTGCAAGTGCTTCTGTCATTTGATATTTTCTAGACTCTTTGACTTGCGCTCTTTTGTTAGAATTATGTGTTTTCCACTTTGTGTGATATGCTCCACCTCTTGAATGTCATCATTTGAACTATCCTTATCATCTCTATGAACCCCACTGTTAAGATATTGATTTTCCAGTACATTTTCTTCATCACTATTTGGTGGGTCCTGGGTAGAAGAGTGATGGAGTATTCCAGTTGCAGTACTTCTATTGAATATTATTCCCAACAGCTTAGAGTGGTCACATCCTTTCTTTCGAAATTGAGCAGCCTTTTCATGTGCCTAAAGACCAAGGAAAGAATCAGTAGTTAATTTATTGGTAACAAGTAACGAAGAAAATGTACTAATAGCAATAAGAGAATAGTTTTTCTAGTTGTCCAGTATTTTTTTCCCCGACAAACTTCAACATGCAGTTAAACCAATCAATGTAACTTTCACTTGGTATATTAATACAAATTGATTTCCCAAATTGGTATAAGCCTTCCCTTAAATGTACTAATCTCATGCGTACTCAATATTTGGTGGTCTTGCGCAAATATATTTTATAATTCCACTTTGTCATCTTCTTACATTACAAGGTGAATAGACATCAATATCAAAATATTCTTCATTGAAATGCTGAACATGAATAAGCTTTTACTAGATTCTCCTCAACTTTGAGTCATCTTCAAACTGTTCCTCTAACATTTATAGCCAATAAATTACCTAAACTTTCAAATCTGAACGCACCTAACACATCCTTGTCATTACTTAAAACTGCATGTCATTTGCCTAATTAATTATACCAAATCTGTCCCAGCAACACACACACACACACACACACACATGATCGCATCTTTTTCCTAATTTTCAGTTGTGAGACAGTGGTTTCACCATAGAAATCTTATTAAAAAAAAAAAAAAAATAACAGCTCTGTCTTCATTTGTTGTATTTGAATTACTTAAAAATGATTGAATGAATCGAATTATTTTTTGTATACAATTTGCACCCTTTGATGAGCAATGCAAGAATCCAATGCCTAAAACATATGTGGCTAGGGGAAAGAAGCAAAAACAGAGACATGTATATGGGAATATGTATGACAGAACAGCCGTAAATATATCCTCCTATACACAGCAACCTCCTCTGCAACAAAAATAGTTCATTGACAAATAAAGGAAAAAGCTTAGTGGTGGGTTTAAGAACCCTTGCTAAAGCGATTGCAAAATCATAAGTCAAGACCACTGCAATTTACCAGAACTTTTGAGCAAATCACTAATAAAAGCCAACAGTTATTTAATGGACTAAAAAGAAAAGAATCATGTACATTCAGCAAATACAGTTATTTAATGGACCAAAAAAAAAAAAAAACAAAGATTCTTGCAAGAATATAAGACCCTTGATTGGACAAATACTAAATGAACACATACCTAAAGATAGTTTTGCCAAACTTCTTCACTTGCAGTAACAGTGTTTGTTTTTGCACTCCACCTGAATCCAGTGTGTTTCAATAATAAAGAGAACTCACGATGCATACTCCGCAATCGATTCACCTTTTGTTTTAGTTGCTTAACATTGAATGAATGATTTGTTACAGAGTTCAACCTTGCGGTCATGGAAGTCCATGTTCTAGAGTGAAACACACCATTTGGCATATTTCCTTTTTGGACTTCTTCAACTAAAATGTCTATCAAAGCTTTAACTATTGGGTCAGTCCACATCTTTGAGTCAACATTAGTTCCCATCTATTATAAGTGAATATTACAGTAAGTAGACTAACTCAACTTAAAGAAAATGGAGCAGTTTAACTCCAACAAGCACCACCGAGAAGTTTCTGTGCTTATGTTTGAATTCATGCCAATTTTCAATCCTTTAAATCTACTTCCCTACTACCACTACTTTCCTTTAAATCAAAAGAATGAGTCTGAAACTAAACAAAATTACAATAACACCAGAACTAAAAGGAACTACATAATAATAACAACATGAAAAATAAATTTAGCGAAATCTGCCTCAGCGTTAGTATAACTCAAAAGGAACTATATAATAATTAGTTGAATCAACAATACAAACACCAAAACAAGAACAAAATTATAACAGTTCAAATTTCAGATCTATGTGCATCGATTAAAGATGAAAAGCAATGAAGTTCAAATATGAGATCTAACAAATTATAGTAAAAAGTAAAGTAATTGAGAAGAAAAATTTGAGCATCCACAATAATTTAGAAGTGAAGATGAAATGTGATGAAGAAAAGTGAAGATGAAAAGCGATGGATGAGAAGGAACTAACTTAGGCCTCCTTCGGAAATCTAGCTAGTAGCAGACTTGTTGAAAGGAGAGAGAACCATTTAAGGCGATGCCGACGAGAAGGGAGGCAGCGACGCTGGCAAGAGGATGAACTCTTTTGCACCAGAGGCAAATTCGAAGGAGAAGAAAAGAAGAAAAAACTCAAATGAAATGAGTTGCTCGGCGCGATAAAAATATGGGGAACAAAGGAACAGAAACAGCCAAAACTTGTTTTGGTTTTTTTTTTTATTTAAAAACAAAAAACTAAAAACAGTTTTTAAAACAACAAATTATAAAACAATTATCCAAGCAAATTTTTTTGTTTTAAAAATATTAAAATAAAAAAATAGTTTTTAAAAATAGTAAACAAATAGGCTATAAGATATTGCTTTTCTATCTTTCATATCCAGTGTCTTGAATCCAAAGTGTAAGAATTTAGAAAATTGTGCATTATTCCATTCAGTACTGCAACAACAACATCAAGCCTTATCTCATTACGTGGGGTCGGCTACGTGAATTGTATGATGTCATTGTACTCTATCATTTACTAAGATTTTATGATTATTGTTAATTTAGGGTATTGATTAACAACTTCTTTGAGTATTCTCTTTAGTTTTCCTCTACATCTTTTAACAAACTCAAAATTATTAGTTCCACTTTCCTCACTGTTGCCTCTTGCGGCTTTCTTTGTACATGTCTAAATCATCTTAAATGATTTTCTACCATTTTCCGTTCAATAGGTGCTACGTCCTCTTTTTCTAATATGTGCTCATTTTGAATTTTTTTTTATGTATATGCCTGCTCATCCATCTCAATATTTTCAACTCTGCTACTCAACTTTATGCTCTTGTTATCCAGTTTATGCCCAACATTTACTATCATATAATATAGTTGGTCTTGTAGCAATTCAATAAAACTTCCCTTTAAGTTTATCAGGTATTTTACAATTGCAAATAACTCTTTTAGCTTTTCTTCAGTTAAACTATCCAACTTGTATCCTATGTGTAATATCCTTATCAATTTCCCCATTATGTTGAATAATAACTCCCAAATATCTGAACCTTTTCATTTGAAGTATAATCTAATCTCCTAATTTCACTTCCAAATTATTATTGGTTGACCTCTTATAAAAATTTCAATACAAATGTTTCATCTTACTTCTACTCAGATGAAAACCTTTTGACTCCCATGTCCTCTTCCATAATTCAATTTTACAGCTAATTTCTTCTTTTGTTTTCGTAATAAGAATTATAGCATTATTCCTTTTACAATGGGAGGTTTTTATATACATTATGGATAGTATAACAGACTAAACATAACTGCAAGTATCTAACTGTCAGAACAGAATACTGCTATGACTACCCATACACAATGATCCTCTTAAAGCCTTCAGGATCTTACCCAATTTCTGTAGCCGTCATGGATATTGGAGTTTGGGAAGAAATGAATATTTGAACTCTGAAGTATGAACTGTTTCCCAGTAACTAAAGGAGTCAATCCGTGCGAAGTCTTTAGTTGATCGTATAAGTTCATATCTTTACTTCTTGAAGTCTCATATTTTCACCACTTACTAACATTGACATGTTCTGAGTTCTGTTCGTTCAGGTACTTCCTTGTGTAGATACAAGCGCACATACGTATCCTTAGTATTTAAGCTTTAACAAAGGCTGCTGATATGGCCACTACCAAGGTCTATGTTGTGTAAGAATCTTTTCAACTGCTCCATTTTTCTCATTTCCTCTCTCAATCTCATGTAAAATGCACGTGCTTAGATATAGGCAGGGATGATTTTTTTTTTTTGGGTGTGATCATCAATTATTACAGGTATTACTCTTTATATGGACATGTAGACACTATGGCAAGAGAAGTACACAAAGGGGCGGCTTCAGTTGAAGGTGTTGAAGCAACACTCTGGCGTGTAAGTTATCATTTGATCAAAGATGTGTATTCAAGTTTAAAGTGATGCTTTTTATTGTGTTTGCTGAAAATTATAGGTACCTGAAACACTTTCTGATGCAATATTACAAAAGATGAAAGCCCCTCCTAAAGAAAATGATGTGGAAGACATTAGGCCAGATCAACTTGTGGAAGCAGATGGTTTTATATTCGGTTTTCCTTCTCGTTTCGGCATGATGCCAAGCCAGTTCAAGGCCTTCTTTGATGCCACCCATGACCTCTGGGCTTCCCAATCACTGGCTGGCAAACCTGCTGGAATCTTCTGGAGTACTGGCTTTCATGGAGGAGGCCAGGAACTTTCAGCGTAAGTTTTCACGTCTACTTTTTCTCTTCAGGTAACATTTCCCTTCGTTCTCAATCTGTCATCTGTAGCTTAAAAACTGCCACTTATTGTTACTGATGTAGTGGATTTTTTAGTCAATGAGGATAGATGCTTCAATAATTTAGTTATTGAATCTTGGCTATCAATGATTTAGTTTTGGAGCATGAGCATGAGTCAATTATTCAAAAACGGTTAAGAGTCAAATTGAGGGATAAATAGTTGAAGCAATATGTTTGAGATAAAAATGCAGATTGCTCCTCCTTCAATTGCTGAAGCATTCAATAGAGCAATTTCAAATAATCATTTTGATTTCATTAGTTTTGTGCTTTATAGCTGTTTGATACATCCCACATTAGAAGAACTTGAGGAGGGTTCTAGCTATATAAGCGGTTGCACTACACATCCCAATAGGTTAGCCTTTTGGAGAGAGAGTAATGACCCTGTGATAAAGTGGTATTAGAGCTAGAACCGAGTTTGCCCCTCTGGTGGGCCACCTTGATGGGAGCGTCATGAATTGGCAAGGAGAGTTATTACATCCCATATCAGAAGGATTTGAAGAGGCTCCTGGCTATATAAACTGATGTGTTGCACACCCTAATAAGTTCGCCCTTTGAGAAGAGAGTAATAACCATATTGCTCCTATTGGTCTATAGAAATTTGATAGATCAAGACATCATTGAATAAATTAAAAATCATGTTAAACACAGTTCCTAATAAAACTACAGCTAATGTGTTCATCTTTTTTCCGAGTGGTTTTGTTTGTTAATGTAGAGTTTTTTTCAGTTGACAGATAAGATAGCCAGTAGCATTTCTCATCTATCATCTATTCATGTATCGATTCCTAGCCTCATTTCTCTTCATCTTTTTGTGGTTGGTTTTGGTTTTCATTTGGATGTTGGGATTTGGATTGTGGTGGCAGACTAACGGCGATAACGCAATTGGCACATCATGGTATGATTTTTGTACCACTTGGGTACACATTTGGAAGTGGCATGTTTGAGATGGAGGAGGTTAAGGGAGGCTCTTCATATGGTGCTGGAACTTTTGCTGCCGACGGATCTCGTCAGCCCACCCAGCTAGAACTTCAGCAGGCTTTTTATCAGGGCAAATACATTGCTCAAATAGCAAAAAGGCTTAAAATCTAATCTTCTCCCTAGTCACATTTCTGAAATTTTCCTTAAATTTGATATAATTTATACCGACCTTCTTTATATTTCCAAAATCTATACATATTTCCTCTAAAAATTAAATGTAAATTGTTCCGACCTTTGCATGTTGTTTAATTACATTTATATTTCTTATATTTTCAAAACTACTCAAATATCGTTTTTATTTTTGGTTGGGGGGGGGAGGAGATGATTACATAGACCTCTCATCATTTTTTTTTTAAATCAAACATCTATTTAAATTTTGAAGGATATTTGTGTGTATCTTGAAGAGAAATAAAGCCTTTTTTAGGGAAACTACATAAGCAGCAAAAAAGAAATAAATTAATTAATGACCAGTTTAGATATTTGTGTAATTTAGAGAGGAGGGAAGAAGGGATTTTATTATTTTAATAATATTTTTAACTTTCTTTTTATCCACTCTTTTCATTTTGTTTTAACCAAAAGAAGAGAGAGAAGCAGGGTTCTTCATAGAACAAGACTAAGATAGTCTTATCTTGTGTTCCATCTAAAAAAAGGGAATGGAAATGAGTTTTTCTCTAATCTTGGAAGTTGTCATGTCCCATTTAGAATTGGAACGGGACAAGATCAGGAAATTCTGATGAAGAAATTAAAAGGTAAAAGAGAGAGATGGAAAAGTAAGAATTAAGCATCTAAATACTATGGCCATATTTAGATTATCAAATTCTTGTAATTAAGTGAACCTTTTTCACTTGAAACTAATATAAAACTACAAAGCAGTGAAAAAATTAACACAACTGGTTAATCACAAGAGATCAAAAGTATAGATAAAGTTTAACAATTTAAATTCAATTATGGAGTGACGGCAACTACAAACTTAAAGTGATGAACACATTTAAAAAAAATAATATATATACCTACTTGAGACGGATAAGATGTCTTGATAATAAAACAATGTCTGGTCCCATTCTCAGTGTAATTTTCTCTTGTCATGATTTTTGTTTTTAGATGGGTCTAACCAGTTTGACATTATTGGGATTGAGAGGGGCCAATCATGATGGGACTAACATAAACACCTAAGGAGAGTAGTGTTGTCAATAAAGGTTAGATCAATCTTTAAGATTTAAGTATTTAAACTTACATATTTTAAATTGATTATATTTTTTAAACTCAACCATGATTGACAAAACTTAGGATCAGGTCTAAAAATCTTATAATTTTTTAATTTTAAATTTAAGGTTATAATTATGTTCATACACAAATTCAAGCCCTTTTATATGTTTTTAATGTTTTCCTCTGTAATGACTAAGAATTTAATTAAAATTAAAATTTATGGTATATATTTCAGTACAAATTTATCAAGAAGGATAGGGGAATTGAAGCTTACTTATCATCTATCAGGTCAAATGCAGAGGATTTCTTTCTTTCTTTTTTTTTTTTTTGCGTTCTGAAATTACAACTATGCCCTCAACTCTAATCAGATTTTTTTTCATCTTCCATTTCTTCTTCCTTGATTCACCGACCTCGCGGCCTCTGAATCAAAGACCCTCTGCCACCTCTGTTTCCTTCTCCTTCCTTCTCTGTTCACTGCTTGTCGCTGGCGTCAATGCTCGAGGTTGCCGTGTTCCACCGTTGCTCTGCCATTTATCATCCGAACTGAGGTCCATTCATACTTGCCTTTCTTGTGCTCTCCGTGAACTCGCCATTTTTTAGGTATAAGTCGCGATTTCATCCCCTTTTTGTTCCGTTGGTTCTTTTCTAGTTCTGCTTGATATTAATAATGCTCCTTCTCTCTTCTCAGTTCATTCTGTAGCAGGGGCGTCGAAACTTTTCTCCTTCCTCTCATTGTCATCACTCTCCCTAGTTCAGTGTGGCTGTGGGTGCTATTGTTGGTTCGTGATCCTCCTCCTCTGCTTCTGTCGACTTCTTCTTTCTTTTTACCTTCTCTGCCGTTGTTGATTCAGGGGAGAAGCTTAGAATTTTTCTCCTCGTTGATTCCATGCGTGTGTGTGTATTTTAGTGGTTGAAGTTGTAATTTGCTCCCCTTTGCTGATCTCCGTGTGCGCGAGAAGTGATTGGTGCGAAATTTCTACTTCTTTCCTGTTTGATTTGCTGCGTGAATTTTTTTGAAAGTAGATATAGTGCAGTCTAAGCAAGCTAGAATTTTAGTCTATTGAAAAAGATGTAGAGTGCGCTTGAATTGTACTTAAAATTATATTGATTTTGTTGAAGGAAAGAACTTGGGATGCTGGAATAATTTATGTATTGATGATGTACAAGTGTTAAAAGAATTGTGGGATGGAATATGAAGGAAGGGGTTAATATTAAAATTTGAATATTTGTGCTTGCAGAATGTTTGATAAAATGTTTGTTACAGGGAGTTGTTAAATTTTGATATTTTTTAAAATTTCATTAAATACTTTAAAAAGTATAATTAGCTTGGATGATATTTATTTGTGAAATTAGTTGATTTCTTGAAAGTTGTACACCCTAGAGTATATAAATCATGGTGCTGTTTTATGATTTAATTTTGGAATGCACCTAAAGTATTTGATAAAATGGATAATGAAAGAATTAGGGATTAATAGTGTGATTAAGGATGGTGTGTACACACGCACACTCTTGATTAAATAATTACCTATGACTAAAGTATTATAGAGGAACTTTGTGATGCAAGTGATGGTGTTAGAAAACTTTAAATTATCTAAATTGATTATGATTGTATTATTGTTGTAAGGAATTTTATTGAAATTGTAGAAAGCTTATTGAAATCCTATTATATTTTATAGGGTGCTGGAAAGATGTGAAACTTAATAAGAAGTTGAAAAAAATAAATCTTTGGATTTGGGGACTCGATAAGTAAGTGGATAACGTTTTAATCAAATTATTAGTAATTTTTTATCAAAATATTATTTTAAATAATTTACATGTATCTATATATATTTTTAGTATCTATTACTTTTTGTTAATTAAGTTATTCTAGTTCTTGAAGTCACAACATTTACTTTTTAAATTGGCGAAAATGCTTGTACAAATTCTAGTAGTCTTTTATTTGATAAAGCCAACCATAAAAATTAGTAAAAGAGTTTATGAGATATTAGTTATGAATTTTCATATGTAGAAGGATTGATGTTTTATGTAATTCATGTGAGTTTGATATTGAAAGAGAAAATTATATTTTGAAAGTAATGATTTTCTCACATTTTTTAAAATGGATTTAAAAGGGGCTTTATATAGAATATTAATTGCTAACGGTAGTTTCATTAGCTTTTAACATGTCATGGTTAAATCCTAGCTAATTTGGTATTCATGAGTATCGTACTCACACTTGTTTCATGGGTTTTATGCTTGTACTTGTTATTCGTAACCTCCTACCGCACTTGTTTTGTGAATTGTCACGCTTGTCATTTGTAGACTCTAGTCACGCTTGTCGTTATTTGGAATGGTTTTTGGATACTCTTGTGTGATTTGTAAATTTTGGGAGCTTAAGGTCCATTTTGGGAAATGGCACCTGGGAGATCAAAATTTGATACAAGGGGTTTTTCTATCATTTAAATATTTTATTAGGTACTCTTAGTCCTATTTGTCATGTCCAAAGTATTTCCATAGGTTGTGACCATTAAGATGAGATTTAGATAATTTGAAAAATAGTTTTATTAAAAAGCTACACTTTTACATCTGGGTGTCTAAATTTCAATCCGACCATTGGATTTTCCTGAAATTTAGGTCACAAGTAAAATTTTTTATAATCTTCATGCGGGCTTTAGATGCACCTCCTGGTGTACTTTGAAAGTTGGTCCGACGGTGCTGTCATGATAGCTATTTAATGTTGTTATAATAGCAAAGTAGCTAAATTTGCAACGTGTAGTAATTTCAATCTATTCATTGGATCTTTTCAGAGTTTGGTATGCTACTAGTACTCTTTAAAAGTGACATGTAGGCTATAGAATCACTCTGATCGGAGGTCAGATGATGAAATTGTGTACTCTAAAAGTTGGTCTAGAAGTGCTTTCATGACAGCAACTTTATCCAATCTTATAGAGTGTCTAAATTTTAATCCAACCGTTAGATCTTTTTGAACTTTGGTGCACTACTAGTAATCATTAACATTGATGTGTAAGTTTTAAAATCACTTTGATCGAAGGTCAAACAGCAGAACGATACCTCCTAAAAGCTGGCATAGGAGGGTTGTCATGACAAGCAATTTAAAACTATTATGACAACATTTTTTATCCCACTTTCATCTAGCTTGCTTCCGTGCGCTATAGGTAGAACCTATAAATTTTTATAGTGGTTTTAAATTTTTATTTTCCAATGGTGTATTTGGTTAGTAATTTAAATGATTTATTTTCTAAGTTGGTTTTAGGATCAACTCCTCAACCACACTTAGTTTGTTTGAGTTGTGTAATTTTTGGATAACACTTGAGGTAAATGTTACAATATCCCTTTCTAAGCTTGTTGAAAGCCTAAAAAATAAACAAGTGACTATGGCCAGCCTAAAAAAATAGGTAGTTGAGTTGCCTCAATTAGTACAAAAACTTAAAACTATCGACATCCCACATCAAATTGTCCACATTGAACTAGAATTTTTCCCAAAAAGACCAAACCATGTAGCCTCTCAAATCTTTCCTATAGGGTTTCACTTCAAGCCCTTAGTCGTGAACAAAATCCAACAATTTTATGAACTTATCTTAGTGGACACTAAATCCATAATCTTAAGACATAACCCAGATAAGAAACATGGAGTGATGAATAATACCACATGGATCCACTTAGCTTATAGATATTAAAAGTGCTTGCTCCAGCATACTGGGTGATAAGACACATTATTTACACACTTTTTCCATTAAGACCTACTTTATATGTTATATTCCCCATTTTGGTGTACCTATGATCTTAAAAGCAAGAAAATCACCTAAGGGGCAAATTTATGCACCAGGGGCATTTTAGTCAAAAAATATAATTTTTATGAAAATTTAGGTTAATGTTGAATTTAAGGTGTTTTATGCCTCGGAGATTGAATGTGAAATTATATTTTTAAAATTGAATTTGGTTTGGGAGATATTAATTAAAAATCATAATTTAGAGTTGTTGACTTTATTAACCTAATTAGGGTTTTTGTGCATGTGTGTGTGCTTGATTAGTTTCATGTGTGG